TTTTGGGAGGAGTTTTGAGGGAATTTGCGGGGGGGGGGAAATCCCAAGATTTTGGGGAAATTTGGGGAAAATTTTGGGGATTTTTTGGGGATTTTGGGAGAAAATTTTAGAGGGAATTTTTTGGGGATATTTTGGGGGAAATTCCAGCGAGTTTGGTGGGATTTTGGGAAGACTTTTGGGGAATTTTTGGGGAGAATTTTGGGGATTTTGGGAGGAATTTTGGGGGAGATTTTGGGATTTTTGGAGGGAAAATTTGGTTGGTTTAGGGGAAAATTCCGGGGATTTTGGGGGAAAATTTGTGGAATTTGGAGGATTTCGGGGGGATTTTTTGGTGAATTTTGGGGATTTTGGGAAAATTCAGGTGTTTGGGGGGAAATTTTGGGGATTTTTGGAGAGAATTTTGGGGATTTTAGGGGGAAATTTTTGGGATTTTGGGAAAATTTGGGAGGAATTTCTGGAATTTTGGGGGAAATTTTGGTGAGATTTGGGCGGAATTCTTGGGATTTTGGGAAATACAGGAATTTTGGGGTAAAATCCTGAGATTTTGGGGCAGATTTTTGGGAAAATTTGGTGGTTGGGGATTTGGGGGGGAATTTTGGGGGAAATTCCTGGGATTTTGTGGAAATTTTGGGTTTTTTCGGGGGGAGTTTCAGTGATTTTGGGAGGTTTTTGGGGAGGTTTGGGGTGAAATCCCAAAATTTTGGGGGAATTTGGGAAAATTTGGGGTAAAATTCGGATTTTTGGAGAAAAATTCTGGAATTTTGGGGGAAATTTTGGGAGAAATTTGTAGGATTTAGGAGGAATTTTGGGGAGATTTTTGGGGCAAAAATTTCTTGGATTTTGGAGGATTTGGGGAAAATTTGGGGGAGAAATTTTGGGGATTTTTGGAGGATTTGGGGAAAATATCCTGGAATTTTTTTGGGGGGATTTTGGGGGAAATTCTGAGGATTTTTGGCAAATTCTTGGAGTTTTGGGGTGAAACTTTGTCATTTTTGGCTGCAATTTTCCCAATTTTGGGCAGAAATTTTTGGGAATTTTTTGGGATTTTTGGGATTTTGGGGATTTTCATCTTTCCCAAGAAAATTTTTGCCGATTTTGGGATTTTTAAGGTGGAGTTTTGTGAGAATTTTCAACGTTTTACACCAGAATTTTCACAATTTTGAGCAAAAATTTGGGGATTCTCATCCTAAATTTTGGGAGGATTTTGGGAAATTTTTGGGAATTTCAGAATTTTGGGATTTCGATCTTTTCCCAGGAATATCTTCAGGAATTCAGGGCAGATTTTGGGGTGGTTTTGGTGGGAATTCTCTGGGATTTTGGGTAAAATTTTCGTCGTTTCGAGATGAAATTTCCCCAATTTTGGGCCAAAATTTTCCGGATTTTTTTTGGGAATTTTGGGAGTTTTGGGATTTTTGGGATTTTTGGGATTCTGACGTTTTTCCGGGAATATTTTCAGGAATTTTGGCATCTTTAGGGCGGAGTTTTTGAGGGAATTTTCATTGCTTTGAGCTGGAAATGTCAGGATTTTTGAGGAGAAATTTCAGGATTTTTGGACAGAATTTTTCAGGGAATTTTGGGGATTTTTTGGGGATTTTTTGGGGATTTTTGGGAATTTTAACATTTCCCAGGAATATTTCCAGGAATTTTGGCCTCTTTAGGTTGGAATTCAGAGCAGAATTTTGCTGGGAATTTTCAGCATTTTTAGGCAGAATTTTCCCCATTTCGGGCAGAAATTTTGGAAATTTGACTCAAATTTTTTCAGGAATTTTGGGATTTTTTGGGGAATTTTGGGATTTTTTGGATTTTGACGTTTTCCCGGGAATACTTCCAGGAATTTTGGCCTCTTTAGGGCGGAGTTTTGCTGGGAATTTTCATTGTTTTAGGCTGGAATTTTCCCAGTTTCTGGCAGAATTTTTGGGGGATTTTTCTGCAAATTTTTTCAGGAATTTTGGGAATTTTTTTTGGATTTTCCTGATTTTGATTATTCCCTGGAATATTTCCAGGAATTCTGGCCTCTTCAGGCCGGATTTTTCCTGGGAATTTCCGGGCGTTTCGCGCCGGAACTTCCGCGTTTCCGCTCAGAACTTCCCGGGAATTTCGCCGACTTTGCCTAAAAAAACCCAAATTTTTTTGGGAAAACCCCCAAAACGCCGGATTTTTTGGGCTGGCAGGTGAACTCTCTGGACGACAGCGGGGTGCTGGTGGGGAACTGGACCGGGGATTACTCGCAGGGCACGAACCCCTCGGCCTGGGCCGGCTCCGTGGGGATCCTGCGCAGCTTCCACGGCTCCGGGGCGCCCGTGCGCTACGGCCAGTGCTGGGTGTTCGCCGGCGTCGTCACCACCGGTTCGGACTGGGAGGGACTGGGAGGGACTGGGAGGGACTGGGAGGGACTGGGAGGGGAGGGAGGGACTGGGAGGGAGAAGGAACGGGGGGAAAAGGCGGAAAAATGGCGAAAAAAGGGCGAAAAATGCAGAAAAAATGGGGAAGAAAGGGTTAAAAATGGAGGAGAAAGGGTTAAAAATGGAGGAGAAAGGGTTAAAAATGGAGGAGAAAGGGTTAAAAATGGAGGAGAAAGGGTTAAAAATGGAGGAGAAAGGGTTAAAAATGGAGGAGAAAGGGTTAAAAATGGAGGAGAAAGGGTTAAAAATGGAGGAGAAAGGGTTAAAAATGGAGGAGAAAGGGTTAAAAATGGAGGAGAAAGGGTTAAAATGCTGGCAGAAGGGTTACTGGTTTGGACTGGTTTGGGACTGGTTTGGACTGGTTTGGACTGGGAGGGGAGGGAGCGAGAAGAAACGGGGGAAAAAGGTGAAAAAATGGCGAAAAATGGGGGAAAATGGGGAAGAAAGGGTTAAAAATGGAGGAGAAAGGGTTAAAAATGGGGGAAATGGGGGTTTGGGGTTACTGGTTTGGACTGGTTTGGACTGGTTTGAACTGGTTTGGACTGGTTTGGACTGGGAGGGGAGGGAGGGAGAAGGAACGGGGGAAAAGGCGAAAAAAAAGGCAAAAAAAGGGCGAAAAACGGGGAAAATATGGAAAAGAAAGGGTTAAAAATGGAGGAGAAAGGGTTAAAAATGGAGGAGAAAGGGTTAAAAATGGGGTTTGGCGTTACTGGTTTGGACTGGTTTGGACTGGGAGGGGAGGGAGGGAGAAGGAACCGGGGGAAAAGGCGGAAAAATGGTGAAAAATGCAGAAAAAATGGGGAAGAAAGGGTTAAAAATGGAGGAGAAAGGGTTAAAAGGGGATTTGGGGTTACTGGTTTGGACTGGTCTGGACTGGTTTGGACTGGTCTGGACTGGTTTCTAGTGACTTAAACCACTTTAAACCGACTTATATTGCCATATACTGGTCCATACTAGTCCATACTGGTCCATACTGGTCCATACGGGTTTATACTGGTCCGTACTGGTTTATACTGGTCCTTACTGGTTCATACTGGTCCATACGGGTTTATACTGGTCCGTACTGGTTTATACTGGTCCTTACTGGTTCATACTGGTCCATACGGGTTTATACTGGTCCGTACTGGTTTATACTGGTCCGTACTGGTTTATACTGGTCCGTACTGGTTTATACTGGTCCGTACTGGTTTATACTGGTCC